AAAAAAAAAAAGACGCGTTGTCCCGTTTTTCGAACGCGTCGTCTCGTTTCCTCCATCGTCTTCCAAAGTAACACGGGAAACGGTGCGCGTGCCAGAGCATCAAGCCTGGGGTTGATTAGCCACCGGAGAGAAAACGCAACTTGTTAGTAAACCATCTTTGACGAGATTCGATCTCGACGGAGAGAACGAAAGCGCAGAAAAAAAAAATAAAGAGTCTGGAAGAGAAACAGAGAGACGGAGGGAGACAAGCGATGGAAAAACGACGATGAAACCGTCGAATGGGAAAAAGACTAGAACGTTATAAAATAAAGGCGAGGGGATATGGAAAACTGCGACTCGAAAGGCAAAGTAAAAAAAAAAAGTAATGTTTAGAAGAAAAAAAAGGGAAAACAGAGATTCGTCGTCGAACTTTTCTTTGTGCGTCTATGAGCGTGCGTGCGCGCGCGCGCGGGCGTACGTGCGTGTGCATCTTGGGTTTTTGGGCCGACGACCTCGCTCGTGAAAGGGAGGCAGCAACGGCATGAAGCAGCTCGCGGTGCGTCCGAGGTCAGTGCTCTCCTCTGGTCCTCGGCTATCCGTGTTTGCAAGGACTCTCCCTTCGCCTTCGAGGTCGACCGGAATGTTGACGTACGTACCACGCGCGTGTGTACACGCGAATGCGTGAGAAATAAGGTGGAGGAGGAGGAGGAGGAGGATGAGAAAGGAGGAGAAGGATTATGATGATGATGATGATAATGATAATGATGAACATGATGATAATGATAATGATGAGGATGAGGAAAAATAGAGAAGTGAACGAAGAATGATGATAATGTGATGATGATTATGGTGATAATGATATGATATGATATGATATGATATGGAGGAGGTGGCTTTCGTTCCTTGGGAAGCTTTATCCTGCTTAGCATTGACCTTGAAATTGTGTCGCCCTATTGTTCCCTCCGCTGACTGCACAACCTCCGTTGCCGGGGTTTACCTAGCGAAGCGACGGACCGCCAACCACCCGTGTCCAGTGTGCGGAAAACACTACGTCAACGAGGGTAGTCTTAGGAAGCACCTGGCCTGTCATCCTGAGACCAGTCAGCTTAGCACAAGCCTCAGGATGTGGCCGTGCTCGGTGTGCCAAGCCGTCTTCACTCATGAGAGCGGTAAGTATAACCTTCCTGCTGAAACAAACCTATCGAATACAATCGAGTACAATTTTGTTCGTTCTAATCGTTCTTTTAAGCCGTTCACCGTGTATATATATACATGTTTACTCTTTCGTTTCCAAATACCGTTTTATCACGGAATGTGTTTTCTTTCCGGCTTATTCGATCGTACATCTTATTCGTCGACCAACGAAACTCTATCGAGACTGGTCTGTTTTGCTGTTAAGGTTTGTTGAGTCACATGGAGCATATGAGAATGGACCCGAAACATCAGTTTGCTGCACAGTACGTTTTGAGCCGCGCGGCCGCCGAGAGGCGGGAGAGAGAAATCCTCGCGTCTTCGAGTCTAGGTAACGAACGTTGAGAAACACGTGTATCTGTCTGTATAGTCCTAGTCCTGTTCTAGCGTGTAGCTACTACTACTACTACTATTACTACTACTACTTTGATTGGTAACAGTAACGATCGTAACGATACATACGTTATTCTCGTGTCCAGGTACGGGATTGGGTGTGTTGGGAAGCCAAACAGGCGGACCTCAAAATTTGCAACAACCACCGATGTGTCCTTCCCCGTCGGCCCACTCGGACAGCAGCAGTGGCAACGGAAGACTATCCTCGGCCGGTAGTGAACCTGGTACGCTCCGATCTTGTTCCTCCGTCTTCTTGCAAACGGTCGTCTGGAATGATCGTTAGAGTGCCCGTGAATAATAATAATGTTAGAGTAACGCCCGTCTTAACACCACCTTAAGAAGCGACCTTTCATTCTTACGTAATCACAACACGCTCGCTGAAATGTATCGATACGTCGTACACGCACCGAGCATCGAAACGCAGCGACAGTTATTGTAGCAAACATACATATACCTATATATTACATTTGATATACCTGAGAGTAAAATAAAGTACCTACGAATTCTTGTGTGAGTAATTTCCGTATCATACGAACGTTCATTTTTATAATCGTCTTTTCCACCGACTGTTAGACCATAGTTACGTAGTAGCGCTACTAAAAACTCGGCCACGTCCACGTAGACCGCGCATACTAACGTGAGCAGACTTCTGCGCAGGTACCGGTCTGCTGAACAACAACAACAACAACAACAACAACAACATGGCGTCGCCGGGGCCCAGTGGTAATAAGCTCAGCGAGATGCTCCGAGCGGGAAGTCAGCCTGGCTCCGCGCAACAGTACCACGACGAGATGCAGTCGCAACAACAACGCATGGCAGTGATGGCCGCCGTGTCAGCGGGTAAGAAATCAACCATCACCTTCTATGTCGTTCTGTTCTCCTCGAATCTCTCCATTCAAGGACACCTCCGATACCGCTTATCTGCTCGCGCGTCTCCGACTCTGCTCCGCGAGAACAGATATCGCCGACTCTCGTTCCAATTAATGCCAATAAAGTTTGATTTACAATTATGTTGTTTTTGCGCGGCAAGGATTTTTCTTATCTCCGTGGCCTGGCTCACTGCGATCGCGAACGATAGATTCAACGATATCGGACGCGAATAATATCCAAATAGGTTGTTATCGTTTGCGCTGGGAATAGCAAATGATATAATAAATCTGCTTGATTTGCCGATAGGTTTGCAAAATTCGGTGTCGCCGAATCTGTCGCCGGTGGACATGGCGTCGCTGGCGGCGGCGATGAGGATGGGAAACAACGGTGACATGAGTGGCGGTGGGCAAGGATCGACAGGGCCGCAGCAACAAGGCGTGCAAGCAACTGGACCAGAACAGACTCTGAGGATGCACCAAGCGGAAGCTTTGCTGCGTTCTCAGGCAGAAGCCGCGCTCAGATTGGCTGTAAGTTTTATTATTATTGTTTAAAATTCAACCGAATTAGTAGCCGTCCTTGAGAGTCCGAACTGACTAATTGTTTAATTTTCTACTCAGGTATCGCAGGCAGCAGCAGCAGCGGCGAGTTCCGCGGTCGGCGGAGACGTGAGACATCATTTAGGACAGCATAACGGAGGTAGCACTTCCGGCATGCCTGGACATCACACGAATCAACAGATGTCCCAGCAGGATGCCTTACCGCCCGACCTTGGTAAGTTCATCTTCCACGAGCAGCCTCAACGACCAATCTCAAAACAATTGCACTCTATTTGTTGTATCGAGTAGTATGTTGTATGTTGTAGGCCATTCTAAGAATTTATTTAAAGATATCAAATGTACATTACAAAGTCTTCTCTACAACTCAATAATGATTGTCAATAGAGAATAAAACAGACGCCATCTACAAATTATTATATATATAGTCAGTCCAATAAGTATTCGCACCCTCTATGTCTATTGAAGAAAGTCGAAAATAAATGACAGGCTCGACTAAATGAATTTTCTTCATTATAAGCATGTACATGAGTAAACGTTGCACATGTATTGTATATATTTATAATTGTAGAAGTGCGTTTGAATTTCGCGCTCTCATTATGCACCGGTAAGCGGCGCTGACCATGTTTATGTGTGGCTACACTTTATTATTTTTGTTCTAAGTAACGTCTCTGCATTTCTACTTATATTAACTAAATAATAATGAAACATTTATTTGGAAACACCAAACCTTTCATTTAATTTAGACAAATGTCTTCAATAGACATAGAGGGTGCGAATAATTATGGGACTGACTGTAGATTGACGACACGCGCTTTGAACGTGTCTTTGGGACTTGAATGTGTTTGGTCTACTAAATCTTGTGTCGCTGAAACCATTCTGGGAACGATTATATTAGGTTGGCAACCAAGTTCCAGTCGTTTTTTCAAATTTTAACATTCCGCCTGTCAGTACATTACATGTTTTTGGCACAATGTTTAAATCATTCGAAAAAGAATGTTCTGTTCTATTGGAATCAACGTTTCGTTTGTTTTTTTTTGTTCGAGTTAATTTGTGTTAATTTTCAGATCATTAAAATGGAACGTCGAGTTGAGAAAAATGAGTACAACTGGACGGCCTTAGTTAACCCTTTCAGATCTGGCGTCCACAATTGAAGTGACGCCACGAAATTTAAAAATTACCGACACCATCCTTTAGAGCGAATGTCCTTATTTGTGCACACAACGGAAGACCAGTTTTCCACGAAAACTACACTATTAAGATTTTTTCTTTATTTTTTTCATAATAATTTTAGTCTAACTTAACCGTAATTAAATTGCATTAATTAAATTACATTAGTACGAGAAAAAAAACATAATTCAGTTCTGAAAGGGTTAAACTTGACATACTAATCACGTGGGGTTTTTTCAGCTATGGCACCCTCTCCATACCTTGATTAAAAGCAAAAAGAAGGAGGTGTCGAAAATCCTCAGTTTTCTCAATTTGACAATCCATTTTAATAATCTAAAAATTAACATAAATTTACAACAAAAAAAAACATAGATTCCTGTAGAACAAAAGATCCTCTTTCAAATGATTTAATACATTATGCCAAAAATATTTAATAAAAAGAGGAATGTTAACATTGAAAGAAACTTAGTTGCCAACCTAATATATTCCGTCAGTACGACTACAATATACCGAGTGGCATATAGTTATTCCATTCCTAAAATATTTACAGACTTTTGGACATGTGGTGCAGGCTTAGCTGGGTGAAAAGTGCTAACTGAAGCTTCTGGGTGTAACCTGTTTTCTTTGGATAGAACACTCGTTTCGCCAGACGTTGCAGCTAGCTTCTTTAAAGGTCAAATGACACACTGATATTAAATGATATTAAATGCCATTTGGTTCCTGAAAAAACTACCTGAAATGCTAGCGAAACGTTGGTGTATCTTATCTAAAAGATACAGAAGCCTTAGTTAGTATCAATCATGAAAACCTGGCCACGGAAACCTTAAATATCTCCTGAATGAAAAGTATTTGTTAAACGTACGTTGAATAATCGTTATTGTAAAAGTTGGAAACAATTTTTTGACACGGCGGCGTAAATGATCTAATTGTAATGTTTGTTAATGTCTACGGAAGCTGGTCCACGTCTATTTCCTTTCTTAAAAAGTCTTATAGACTTGTGTATTCTTTCTAATATTCTTTATTTTTTATTTCTTTCGGCGCCAAGATTTAATGCAGATGTTTAATGTAGGTTATTATTTTGATAATAAAAAGTGATGTTCAATTTGTTGTTTTAAAAACAGAATTTACGATCTTTTTTTGCAATAATTCGTGACTCAAAAGGCTATAAACTTATCACTTGAGTAATTGCAATAAACTTGAACTAAGAGACATCTCGTAGTAAAGGTGAAAAAAATTGAACTCGTTATAATATGTAGTAGAAAAGTATGCTGCAAAGGGTAATATTTACAACCTGCATTAATCTATCAAAGAAACGACGATTGTTAATAAAATAATGTAAGTAAACTTTAACGTTCCCATCTCTAATAACCTTGGTGTTGAATCAACACTGTTGATGCGACATTAATCTAGATTTAAAAAAAATAGTAATTTTGAATTGTAATATTAATTAAATATAAATAAATATTTTATTTAGTTAGATTGCAATAGACAGCATTTTTATTGCTAAAAAATTAAACTATATTATCGAAACTGAAAATTGCTTCTAACTTTGATAACATTCATTTTTCGACGTATGTTGATTTATTTTTTACAGATTCTAGTTTTCCTTGCGAGCTCTTTTTGACACCTTTACTTTACAGTGGTAATGAACATGAAGTAACTCTATAAATTGGTGCAACGTTCGCATTATACCAAAAATAATAAGAAGCTCTAAATACACTCATGAAAATCATTTAACCTTTAATTTTCCTGAAATGTAATTAATTTAACTTCGTCGACAAAATTCTAATTGTCTACACTTTTACACAAATTCATGATAATTTATGGAGTATTTACAATTAACATTGCTCCAAATAAATGGCCAGTGACTAAAAGCATGAATTAAAACACGACGTGCTTCAAACAAAAATATTATTTTAAATACTCTTAGTTGCAAAGTCTCTCTCAAGGTTTGTTTTATGACATCTGAATTAAACTATTTATAATTAAATACTTATTTAATTATATCGGATATAAATATAATTTTAAAGAAACTTAGCGAGAATCATACGTCCTCAAAGTCTGTAAATATCATTATTCAACATTCCATATGATTGAGTAAATAATAAGCATTGCTTGCTAAAATAAACGTAATAATATAGTTAATTATAGCACAACAAACACAATTTATTGTTCTAGAAACGCTTCGAACTCCTCAGCACGTATTGCTCATTTTCAGCAACGATAATATAACTAAAAAATCATGACTTTCCCAAAAATGAATTTGGATGTTATGCATCGTTACATTGTGTAAAAATATAGTCATAGAAATTTTCAAGTTAGTATAATGAAATATTGAACAGCGGTAAAAGTGCCATAAATATCGTCACATCAAAAGTTGAGCTATTATTATACCAAATGGGTGATGTACCGAATAAGAAAATAAAATATAACAAGCACGAAACAAATATTTTATGCGAATCAACATAACTGGAAGAATTCTATGAATACGATAAAAGTAGTTGCCGTTAATAAGACAAAAGCGACATTTCCTTCGTAATGTGTCTCCACTTTAATAATTTACTTTCTAATTTATATCAAAGAAGTAACCAAACGAAAGACGCATCTAAACGAATAAACTATTCCCGTCTACGCCATAACTGACCAAGTTCCGCTGATTCTCTAAGGCCGAACGCACACGGGTGCAACCGATTTGAAATTAGTGTTGCAAACCGTTTGCGCTCTTTGTTTTACGTACTCCACTACCTTTGTTTTACCTAGATCGCACGTGTGCGATCGGTCTAAATCGCGAGACAATTTCATCTTGAAAAACAAATGTTTTACATATCTAACCATTTGAATCTCCGCAGGGGAAGCATTGCGTCTACAAGAGCAGCGATTAGAACAAGCGCTGAGGCTTCACGGCGATCCTCGTGCCCTGAGTTTCACTCTCCAGCACGTGGTCAACCAACAGAACAATCAGCAACCCTGAAAATTCAGTTACTACTGAGACGAGTGGACCCCTTGGACGTCGGAGCAAACGAGCCTGCAGCAGCAAGCTGAACGCCTCAATCAGCAAACGCTTCAAACAGCCGACGCTCGTCCAGCGTCGCTCGGCGATCAGCAGCAGCAAGCTTCGTCTAGCATTGGTCTTCACCATCATCAACAGCAGCAGCAACAGCAGCAGCAGCAGCAGCAGCAGCAACAACAACAACAACAACAACAACAACAACAACAGCAGCAGCAGCAGCAGCAGCTTACCGAAGACCGCGGCGTCAAAAGGAAAGCCGACGACATGATCGGTAACTCTGACACCGTGTAAAGAACGACGTACACCAACGACAAACCCCTGAAAGCGTTTGTCGTCTTCTACGTCAGTTCGAACACAGGCGTCCAAGTGTGGTCACCCGCGCAATCACTATTGTCTCAGCAGTACAAGTTGCAATTGTTCAAAAACTCGACGCCTCGGAAGCATCGTGAATCCTATCGTCAGAGACGCGACGACGTTTGGGTCGCAGCGTACTGATGGATACTACTGTGAAACTTCTACTCCATCCCCGATACAGAGGGAAGGAGACGCAAACGTCATACGTATCTAGAAATCCGTTAGACGGTGCGTGGCGACGGCCGCGGGTGACAATGGTCTTCTAGCAGCACGACGATCCGTCGCGCTGATCACGTTGTTCCTACTTCGGTCCCGCATTCGGAATTCCTACAACGACACGGTTCGCCGAATCGGATGACCCTCGATGGCTCTTTTCAACCAGGCTGTCGAGGGTCCTCCGTTATCGAGCGACGCCCTTTTGCTTCAGTCGAGTCGCTCTTTCAGAATTCTCGGGACGCGTTGTCACCGTGGCCAGAGTCACCCCTGAAACGTGCCATAATATTATTGAAAGAACTGCTTAACTGACGCGTCGCCTGACCACCCTGCAAAGGTCGTCCAGGACGACGCGAGGTACTATGGTTTTTTTTTAGTACAAGAGCCCTACGCACGGACAGGACCTGCGTCGGATGGTCTCGTACCTAGAACCGCCGGGCCGTTCGAGGCTCAACAAACTAAACTATATATATGTATATACATATATATATATATATATATATATATATATATATATATATATTCCTACAAACCAGTTTAAGGTTTCCGTAATCTTAGCTCCCGTAACGTTTAAGGCAAACATACGCGTCTGAGACATGCGTAAACGCGGTCAGGCGGATCAGCTAACCGCGCACAGCACCGCGTCCCCCTTCCCATTTATCAGACGAACGCGAAACAAATCAGAAAAAAGACGGACGGTCTGAACGATCGCTGCATTAGTGATACATGTACACAGAGAGCACAACGAACACGTGACACGTATTTACAAGATACACGAACAAAACGCGACACACAAAACACGCACACACCGCACACGATATAAACACGTACGGCGAAACTTACTCGTGACGTAAGGATATACATATAAAAAAATGCGCGCAACTTGTGCTGGTCGGCAGCACGAAAACTATTAGCTCGTAAGCGGACAAACAAAATATAATTATTACAAACAGTTATATTATATATATTATATATACATACAGAGAGTCTTGGAGTGTATGACGGAGACAAAAAAAAAACGAAGAAACGGAGTACCGGACCAGAGAAGAGGTACCGGTCTGCCGTGTCCCTCCTAACTGTACACGTTGCACATTTTCAAGAGAACCGTGAAGAGTGTACGGGAAGCATTTTTTTCGCGAGCAAACACGCCAGAGACGACGAGGAGGGAGAAAAAAAATATGAAGAGGAGACGATGAAAAATGACGTTGCAGAAAGAGAGAGAAATAAAAAACTAAATGCTAAATATTATATATATTATATATATATAAATATTATAAATAATAAATATAGGGTCTATGAGACTAGGATATAAATTAGGTGAAAGAGATATTCGGTGAGTGCATGGAGCTGCGTGCCCAGGCAGTTGTACACGATCCCAGCGTCAACGAGAGAATGAGAAGAGAACAAGATGGCGGAAAGCCTGGGAACACGAGAGAGAGAGAGAGAGAGAGAGAGAGAGAGAGAGAGAGAGAGAGAGAACGGAACATGAAAGAACGAAATCGAGAGAACGAGAGTACGAGAGTACAGCGCAAGAGATTTCGCGAATGAATGACCTTGGGATTGTCGCGTACGTGCAAGGGCACGCAGTCAGAGCGAACGTGAAACTGCGCGAATGAGGAATGCTTCGTGAGCATCAAGGAAGGAGAGAATGCGAGAATGGAGCGAGCGAGAGAGATTTTAGAGTGGCGTGCTTCAGGTAATCTGAGGTCCTGTGATCGTTATAAGCGAAATATTTTTTTATTTCCGGGTATAATAATCTGAACGCGTAAAGATAATTGCGTCGTTTCGAACTTTTACTTGCAATATACCGTTACGTTCTCGCAATACTTAGAAAGAAGAATTAAGACGAAGAAGAAGGAGAAGCAGAACAGAGGTGGATCGATTAAAGAGCTACGAAGATGAGGATGATGAGGGAGAGAAGAAGAAGAAGGAGAACATAGAAAGTCTGTAGGTTTCACCCCCAGTTGGAGCAAATTTTCGAGATTCGGGCCAGTCCCTGATCACCCTAAATGCACCTCATTGCGATAAATCCCCAATCCCCGATCCCACCTTCAACCCCTTCCTGGAGAGTCCGTACTTTTCGATGGCGTTTCGTTCGAAAACGTTCGCCGCGCTCATCTTCTTGGAACTCGAATTTTGGCGGGAGAAATCTAAACAAACGCAAACACGGTGATTCCAAAACTAAAAACGTAAACGACGAGGCGGTCTAAACTACCGAAGCTAAAGAAAAAAAAAATGGTCAGCAAAAATATCGAATATTCACCTACGACGCGTTCGAATTCTTCGTTTCTTCGACCTGGCAATCGCGGACTGAAGAGTGCGGAAATTGAGAATGGTAGCGTGCCGAATTTTTCCTTCCCCCTGACAAACACACACATCGTACATCGACCGCGTTGTTGTTGTTGTTGTTGTTCCCTTCGGAGATTCTCGACGAAACTTTTTCGTTCCGCGTGTCCTGGCTCTCGCAAACATTTCACCCCGTTTCCCGAGCCACTTTTCCGAATTCCGTCCCGAGCTGAAATTTCCATTCCTGAACTTCGCGCAACGAGTGTTTTCATTTCCCTTCGACTACCAAATCGGAAAGATAGAGAGAACGAGAGAAGAGTGAAAAAAGAGATTCTTAAATTACATCCCGACTTCTCCGTTCCTCTTCAGGGGATCTCTCCCTTCTACCCCTTTGTTCGCCATATACGAAAGTAGCCTAACGTCGTCATCTTCGTTGAACGTAAAAGACACGCGCCGAGAAGCCGCAGAATAGCCAGGCTTTTTCACCATCTGGAACGAGAGAAGGAAAGATTGCTAAAGGATTCATCGTCAAAGCTACATTTAACGATTGCACTCGTCTCGAGGACCGGAACTCGACGATCGCTTCGGAATAAATTCCGCCGAGGTAAAAACGTTATTTCCAAAAGTTGAAAAACTATGACTTAACTTGAAACTAAAACTTAAATCGAAATCTAAGATCGGAATTATCGGTAGTGAGTGAACGAAAATCGTGAAACTTTGGAGAATCGCGAGACAAAGGCGAAGACTCGAGTTCCAGTCGCTTGCACGCGGGTCGATCATTGGTCGTTCTTATTATAACAAGTTTTTGCGTTACAGGGCGTTTTTTCCTCGGATTAAGTAGTATGTAAATACACCTTGATATCACAAGCATAAACTGAGAATTTACTGGTAAACTTAAATCGAGTACATAATGCGAAATAGGGTTAGTTTCTCTGTAAATACCTAAAGTTGGACGAGTGCATACACCTCGTCCAGCAACCAACGATAATCGTTTTTATCGAACCAGTGCTTCTGTTCGTCGTCGGTGCACGCCCGGTCCGTTGGCGATCGTCCTTATGCAACTCGTCGCACATTCGTCTTTCCGTCTCGGAAGTCATTTAAACACGGGAGGAAACAATAACGCGAGATCGTCAACGTCATCGAGAGCAAAGGGTCTCCTGCATAAGAGCGTTCTCCAAGTAATGGGCGTCGCTGATCGGGAAGTTTTTTTTTCTCGACACTGATACACGACACACGGTTACACAAACACGCTCACCTACACACACAGCATTGCGATGGATTGTACAGCTACGTTAGGATAGATAAGTAATAAGTCTAAAAAGAACACAATTCTTCACACACTCGCACCACCGGCACCGACTAGCCTCCAAATTAGGACAGGGACCAAAAACGAAACGACAAAAAAAAAGAAAGAAAGAAATATCACGTTCGGCGATCACACAATTTTCCGAGATTTCGTCTTTCGGGTACTGTCATACGCGCGACATTCGGGTATATACGTACGAGAACGCGGTAACAGAATTTTACTTTTGGAACAACGCGTGAAATTCGTGATCGTCCATTTGTTTCGATAATGTTGCGGAACGCGATTATCGAGCTCGGAGATTTCAAATGGAATAGGAATACCGAGAGTCAGACGTTACTCGAACGCATTTGAAATTCGATCGGGAGAGAGCTGCGTTGAATGAAATAGGGTGAATGAGCGAGTAACTGTGATGGTCAGGTTGATTCGATAATACGCGTGCCGCAAGCGCGAAAATATTATAAAAGAAACATGCAAGCAAAACAGCAGACACATTGGCAGAAGAAAATTTGGAATCTGTTTTTCCAGAGCAAACGAAAGAAGCAAAACATTGTCAACGGTCCCTCGACAAAACGAGCCTAAAAACGCATGCGAAAAAGTAATAATGTATCATACAAAAGAAAAAAAAAATGATCAAAAAACAAAATGGTGCACGAATGTAGGAGCGGAGAAGAAGAAACGAGAAAGATTTTTTTTTTAAAGAAAGCAACAACATCACCACCCACTTTTTACCGTCAGTCACTATCGCCGTTATTAGCAACAAAAATAAAAACTAAATAAAAAAAAACAATAAATTAACAACAACAACAATACAATTAAACACAAACTCCAGCACAACGTCGAGATCATTCGCGACACGGTCGTGGAACGATTCCGAGACAACAGCTTTTCACCGGTGCATCCTGCCGTGCGCCGAGGGTTGCTTTTTTTAGAGGACAGCGACGAACAAATTGCGGAACGAAGAAGAGAGGAAAAAAAGCGATCCAGTAATCGGCCGGCCCGTGCCCCGCGAACGTGTACCATAATTAATAATAAAAATGAAAAAAAAAGCGTTAAACGAAACACACAAGCAAACAATTACAATAGCTCTAGTAGTGTATGTTCTGTAATCGAAGATTCATAAGCGAAGGTAACGAGATAAATAACTACATAAATAAACAGAAAAAAAATGCGGCCGTCAGCAGCTGGCGCGCCGACAGAAAAAAAACACAAAAAAATAATTTACAAATATATTGATTTACATATGCCCGTAACTCGTAAGCGGGCCGGTGGCGCAGCGCGTCTACCTTCGTCGGATTTTCGTGACGAGCTCCGAACTCAGCGTCAAACACGACGATGGACTGCGATCAAACGCGAGGAGGACGAAGAAGAAGGAGCACGAAGAAAACGCGCTCGTCGCGCGGAGCTCTGTCCTCTCGATAAACAGAAGAAAGGCGCACAAAGTCTTCTGGTTCGCAAAGAAACGAAACGGAGCTGGAAAATCTAGAAGAAGCAGAGGGGAGCACGCGTTCTGCAAAACCAGCCCTTACTACTACCCATAATCTTAATCTCTTTCATGTAAATTTGCTAAATGTTTAAATAATCTAAAAAATGCCATAGCCCGGATGCGCTGGTGTATACTCCCAGCGCATACACACTCACAAATACGACTCGACCTCACGAATTAAACGCAAAATCCGCGCGCGTAACCCCCCGCGGCCGCGCGCGGTAGAATTGGTATTCTCGCCAAGGAGCAAACAGTTTACAACAGTGCACAACGACAGAATCACAGACAAACGCACACACAGTGGAAGAAGACGAGGGCCGAGTAGCCGCGTCTCGACGTGGCGTCGGAAAAGACGTTCCGGTCACGGAAGAGCTCGCCGATCTCGGTCAACGTACAATGTCAAGTTGAAGTTGCCCTAATTCTCGAGCGTGCAACCCCGCGCGCTCACACAAATCTCAATACACAGGTGCGCGCGTCCCCGCGCGTCGCCTACACACCCACACGCACACACAGATACACAATCTACACTCGATTACACACGCTACGGATATGTAAAGCCAATTGATTTTGTAAATTGTCGTTTAAAAAAGCAGCGGACTTTCAAAAATGAACAAAAGATCACACTAAATCCAGAACGATATTCGATTAGATTTGGCCTCACGCGGTACCTTTTTCACGTTAACGTTCGTGATCGTTATCGCGGAAAACGTTTGCCATCCGTTCGATTTTCGACTCGATCCATGCGAGGATCGTTCGAGCGTTCGTTCGCGCGGACCGAGTCGAATCGCGGACAAACGAAAGCGATCGATCAAAAAGAGAAGAACAAAATTTCAGAGTAAAAAAAAAGTAAACGAGCAAAATTCGCGGCCTTTGGCATACGTTTGGATGCAGAACCGATGACGATATGACGCCTCGTGGCGTCGCCATGCATCCCGGACTTGACGCCACACAAATCCCGAATATGACGCGACACGCTCGAAATGCACGTGGCCAGGCTTCTCGAACGAACAACGAGTCAAAGAGACAGAGAGACCGAGAAACCACAGCCTACGCCACGCGACGAGCAAAACCAAGCAAACGAAACACCATCGTCCTAAGCAGTTAGCAGCGGCATTAGGAGAGAGCCGTTGTTCGAATTCGCGGCTTTACAAGCAAAAACCGTTGATTTGTTTTCGATCGGGTTTTAATTTTTTAATGAAATAATCTCACGACGAATATACCACGTACGGTCGCGCGCTCTGATCGATCCCCGAGAGTGAGAAAGAGAAGAGAGAGATAAAAGAGGCATAAGACGAGACACGTATGTGGATATTCGTGGCAGTGTGTATCGTAAGTGCGCAGCATATGATAAAACCGACAGTCTAGCAGTGCGAGCGCCTCGGCGGCATTCGCGTCTTCACGCGGTGTCTCTGACCGAGCCTCCGTGATTAAAAACCGGAATAAGTTGTTTCAATGTCCACTATATAAATGAAGAGGCATAGCAGGCGTGGCGGTGGACGTGCGTTCGTCGTTCATCGTTCCTCGTTCGTACGGATTTCGCGAGTTCGGCTAGCAATTAGACCCGTTTCTTGACAACTTGACAAAATTCATCGTGCAAAGAAATTTCAAAATTCCTAAAAAATTCCTCATCTTTGACGCGTTGGCAAACGAAACAAAATTTAACAACAAAATTTAACTTCATTTCGGTATAATTATTAACTTACATTCGATTTAAACACTCCAAACGACGAATCTTTGACGACGAACACGTGAGCTCACCGCGCTGGCTCGTCGTTGGAACTCGAAAGAACCTCTCGGAATTTTCCAGTTTCGCGACGAGTCGATACTCTTTTCAAAATATTCTCCAAATTTTTCGTTTATGGGAATGTGTTTTCTTTACCCTGGTCCCCTTGCCGACCCCCCGTATGCGCGTCCGAGATAATAAACCGAGTCTAAACACACACCCACACACACACACACCTCTGATTGGAAATAAAAAATCCGAGAAACGAGCCTCGAGCAATCTATCGAGTACACTAAACGTACTTAAAAATTAAAAAAGCTCACGAATCACAGATTCGAGTCGAGCTACGAAAAACGTTGCAAAATTCAAATGAGAATGAATAGATTACACGCAGAGTCCGTCGAGTGGGTGCCTTCGTCAGGGTTTTCCGTTACAATTAAACGAACGTTCTCAAGTATAACTCACAACTAGTAGTACTATGGTAGAGCAGTAATTACAGTGTACCGCAGTAAACAGTTAACTACGTAATTATACAGGAAGCACATGGTCTTTTTCAGTGTTTTACAGTCTCGTCAGTCGTACACCACCGCCAATCGCGTAGTGGAACGGCCGGAAGTACCGGATTCATTTCGTACGCAATTTCCTTCGCGCCCCAACGTTTCCCAAAAAATTCAATAATTTCGATCTGACTTCCTGGATGTAACGCGCGGTCTAAGCAAAACCCTTCCAAATCGACCACGAAAAGATTTTCTTTGGAGCAAAAAAGAGCCAATCCAGATTCCCATCCTTGACCGGCGTTCTCACCTCCCCCCTACCCCCCACCAAACACCAGGATTTCCATACCCAAATCCCGTACAGTATTTAACAGAATAAATATGCTAATAAGTGTACTAAGTGTCCGTAGTTTAGGCAACGTGTGTACGTTGTATACTCCGCATAGGTGAACGATAAAGAAGGATCGAGAGAGATAGAGAGAAAGTGAGCTAGAGGTAGAGACGATTGCACGGTGGAGTCAGTCGCATATTTAAACTAACAGATAATAATTAATTAATTACAGTACCGTAACCGTTTGTCAAGTCAAGTTAATTAACAGTTAACCATAACCACGCATACACGCATAATTATTAATTAAACGTACTCGACACATTCTATTGTAAGGACAGAAGCGATCGCGACATCCCCCCCTCCCCAAGGGTCGCGTTTTATTCGATAAATCGCGGAGGCACTCACTGCGGAGACGAACCAAAGGACTGTGTGACTCGGACGCGAATCGGAGGGTGCTTGAACGAGCATAGCGACACACCGTCCACGAGAATTTACATCGAAGTACTCGCGGATTGTTCTCCTCGAGCGTTCGCGAAGAGAGAGACGCGTGCCGATGCTCGTTCAGGTTTCCCCGGTCTTTCATTAGTATTTCGAGTGCAACGTTCAGTTACTTCACTTATGACGTTGCTTTCAACACAAATACAAAAATATCCCGCCATCAGTCCCTACAGATCAACCCATCCACCGTATCCCACCCCGCGGGTAATCCCCTCAGAGCCCAAGCCCCCAAAAGTTTCACGTGTACGCATTGTTTCCAATTTGTTCGTGACATCTCAATTATGGATTCGCGTCTGACCTCGACCGCGTCCCCCTCTCTTCTACTCGCCATTAATCGATCGGAAATTAGGAAAAACGCGGCGAAAATTCAATGGAATTTTGTGTGCTTCATGAGTATACTTCGAGTCGAAACAAGTAATCAAAAATGACTTGAGAATATTTTTGTCGTTTCAAAATGAAAATTCGAATAAAATATCATGATATATGTTTTGAAAAGTATATTTTTTATATCTTTGACAAGTATACTTTGTTTAAGTCAGAATAATTGATCCAATGAAGGGCTTGAACAAATTTTTTGGACTTTCTAATGGAGAATGGAGTAATGGAGTTTCGTAGATTCGTTCCGAAATGGAAATTCAAAGGAAATATCTGAGAGTTATTTCAAAATTAACATTCTGAGAATCATTAACATTTTGAAGATCAGACATACTCGTGAAAATACTTATAGAGCTAAATTTATGTTCTTATACAATTGGAAATTATATAATTTTTCATTGTCGATCAAAATCCACGACCGCTATCAGACTTGTTTTCTTTAATACCTGATCTTCGGAATTAATTATTAATCGTTAATATATTTTATTTGGATAAAAATATATACTCTCGTAAAATACTTGGAATGATTCGCAACGAAAATTGTTCAAATCGTATAAAAATGAACATTTTCACATCGTTACAAAATTAAATTGTTCTAAATTATTGATGGATAAACTCCTCTTTGAAACAAAGTACAAAAGTTCTTACAGTCCTTCTTGAATGAAAATTTGTTAAATTGTTTCAAAATGAAAATTCTTACAGTTCTTTCGTAATTAAATTTCTTAAAATCATTGATACATTTCATTTTGCTAAAGGTGAATAAGGAAACAAAATTCTTCGACTCTTTCTATTGAAATGAAAATTTTCGAGTCGACTCTTCGAAATTCTCAAATGAAATTCCTCGATTCTTAATTATTAAATTCTTAAATAATTCTTGAAATGTGGGGAATCGAAAACATCGAAGAAGCGGGACGCGATCGTGGCGGAGCATTGAGAAAAAAAGGCGAGGTTCAGTTTTCAGTTTTCAGACGTTTTACGTACGGTTATTTACCGAGTATAACACAGCGCAGATTATCGTTGATTTTCGGCGCCCGTTTTCGTCGCGTTTCCATCGTCTCCGATGAAGAAGAACCCATTAATATCAAACGCAATTGAGAGAAACCGCGAAGCAATTGGTGGCAAAAATCTAGCACGATGCGACGAAAATGTGCGTGCTCAGGTTTAATGGTA